TTAAATAAAATACTGGTTAAAAGATATAATCATAATCTTTTAATAATTATATTTGCAATTTTTTTTGGTTAGTTGTTCAAAAATTATAGACTATAAAAAAAAAATTATAAACATTGAAACGATTTTTTGAGTCAGTGTAAATCCAAATATATATCCAATTGGATCAAAAAAATAATATAGTAACATTAGATTGGCTACCTTATTCTCCAGACCTTAACCCTATAGAGTATATTTGGAATGAAGTAGAATATAGATTACATAATTTAGAAATAGAAATTAATAATGTAGAACAATTATGAGAATCAGATAAAAATGTATGAAATTCAATTGAAAAAGAATTTTATAGAAAATTAATTGAAACCATGCCACATAGAATTAAAGATGTTATTGTAGCTAGAGGAAGTTATATTGATTGGTAATAAATAATTATAAAATCATTTAAATTTAAATAAATAAATATACATTATATTTTGTTAATAAAATTTTTAAAAAGAATCACCAAAAAAATCACACCATCAAAAATTATAAAACTAAGCTTTTTTTTTACAAATTTATTATTAAATAAATAAACAACTTATATATTTAAATTAAGTAATTTATTAACTATTTAAATATAAAATTATATAAAACATAATTGTTTTTTTTATTAATATACTGTATAATTGCTTTAAGTTAAAAATACAAGTGGTGTATTTTTTATGACAGCTACTGTAAGTAGTTTATTTATATTCATTTCAGCAATTATTTTTGTTATTTGAATAGGTATTATCCATTTGACATTATTTATTGTAAAAGAATTAAAAAAAATTGTGATATAGCTATATGATGTCTTCACTCAATTAGTAATTGAGGCTTGAGAAATTTTTGGAATTTTTCTTATAGATATAGAGAAAAGAAAAATATACAAGAGAAAGACAGACAACAATAAAAGCCTTTTTAATAAAACTCAACTCAACATTTAACACCTTGCTTACTTTATGCCATAATCCACACGCCTACCCCACAACAGTATTTTTTTTTAATGCGAATATATATTATAAACACGACAGATGGTAAAATTATTTCTGTACTCATGAAAAACCATCAAATGTTTAAGAGTTTGTAAATTAATGTACAATATATATATATAAAAAACTTTCAGCAAAAAAAAAAACTCGTCATAATTTATAAACTAAATACTTTTTCCCAAAACCATTTTTTTCGTCATAATTCATAAACTTCTACACATGAATATACAGTATTGTCAAAATAAAAACAGATTTTAATTACAGTATCACAATTGTAAATTAAAAGAAAGAACGTTTTCATGAATATCGTACGTTGCCAACTACGTAATCACAAGATTCTAGAAGTAATTAGAAATCAATAATTTACGATATTACAAAATTACAGAACGTACTAATCAAATTACAACCCTTTCTTTTAACAGTATTTACATGTATTGCTTTAATCCTTTGATCCTAAAATTTTGAACTTTCCTGGAAAACAAAGCGACGCAACAAAATAAAGTTTTGATGGAAGATTAGTCCATGATGTAACTGGTTGATACCTTGTACCGTCAACTGAAAAGGCGACCGTCTTATTATCCACGTTTAGGTGCACAATGATTTCCACATTATCCCGTGCGAAATTTGGAATTTCACTGATGTTCAAGCCTTTATGTCGATAGGATCCATGTGAACCCAAAATCCATCCGTATTGTGATCCAGCAAAAGTAGATAAATCAAGCATTTCGTCACAAACACCAACCCAATTACTCGAACAACTTTTTTCGATTAGAACGTGAAATTCGTGAGTGCCGCTACTCATAAGATTATTGGTTCTTACACTTACATGACTATTCGTATTTTGAGATGCACTAACTGTATATCCATCGTTGCTAATATTTAAACCTGGACCGCAGCCA